GACTGCCATTCAACCTTTTAATTTGCTAAATTCCGTAAAGAACTAGATCCTAACTGAACTGATCAAGAAATATTTCAAAAGTCTTGAGTGAATATAAATAAAAAATTGCTGAAAGTATTAGGCTGCAGCACTTGTGTATTACGCAGAATTTTTCTGTCTAGCTCGAAGTCTTTTATAAAAATCATAGGTTTTCGCAACCTTTGTTCACTGGCTAACATCGCCAGACGTCTTTTCTACATCAATCCAATGCTATTCTGATAAACTTACTGTTGCTGAGCTTGCTAAAATTGTGCAGCGAGGCTATTTGGGCACGCTTGTCTAAAAATCAATTTTAAGAACTTTATGGAGCGGAAATGAAAGTGTTTAAGACGTATGCGACCAAGCTGCGTCAAGACTGCTTCAAATGTTTTGCTTTAGAGATTCAAAAAAATAGAAGCTATAGATCGCGAAGAACTAACTTGCTCTTCTTAAAAAATAGTTAAAGCATTGCTATTATGTATCCAATAAACAAATGCCCAATCTGCTAATTAATGAAAGTGCAAAATGACGAAGGAAAGGCAAGCATGCAAGCTAGACATTAAAAATTGCTTAAGTCTCACGTAATTTCCAAATGTTACAAATCATTCCATTGCGCGTTATGTGAAATGTGTGATTTCAGAAAAAGTTTCCTCCTACAAATATCTAACTGGTGGTGTTGTTTTCGTCTCGGAAATTCCCAAGTCACCTTCTGGAAAAATCCTCCGTCGTTTTCTACGAGATCAAGCTGCTCGAGAATTGTCATCAAAATTGTAGTTATCACTAGTATTTTGGAATGCCAGAATAAAGCCAATATAACCCTTTTAATATTGTATATTATTCTATATAAAATTGAAGATTACATCTTGCAAGTTTGAATGTGTGGTACAGATTTTAATGAGAAAGTCATTGTGTATACATTAGATTTCTCATTAAGTCCAGTTGTTCGAGAGGCGGAACTGAGTGCTCTCATTCACTGCAGCCTCTGTATCTGCGGTTTTTCTAATTTCATCGAATTTGTGAGTGTTTATGTGAGAAGATAACAGTGACTTGCCTGAGCTCAAATCTCCTCATTTTTTTTAGATAAAGGAAAATCAATTAAGATTTTTAATACAAACTTCATATAACAAAA